AACTCGAGAAAAGGCTACCTAGATGGGTCGGCACATCTATGAAAGGCCGAATGCCCCCCCCCCCCGTCGACAAACTGCGCCTTATTTGTTGAATACATACTCAGAGCAAGTACTTCATGGTCTACTCGAAGTTCGCCTTCCAGGCTGTCGATTACCTCCTGGGCTTTAAGGGATTTTTTCACGTAGAGAAATCGATAGCAAATTTCTGTGTGGCTATTGAAGCGCTATGATAAAGGTGCCGGACTGGTTTTGCAATAGGCCTGACACCCATTTGTCAGCCACGTCTTGCACGTCACCAGAATGCACTTTCTTGCCGACATTAGCCATTTGAATTGCAAGGCTTCGAGTAGTCTGATTGCAATAATTGTTCTCAAGCTACTAAACGTTCCCCCCTCCCTCACTCCCTCAAGAGTGCGCTATATCAATCTGTTATCCCGGGACTGAAAAAAACCAAAACCTTTTTTGCGTCATAAATCACTAATTCATAGTGGTCATAGGGTCCGACGGACGCTGATTGCTGGCCATTTGTATTCATCGTTAGGCTTTTTTTCATTCATCCGCGTCTGTTCAGTGGTCGTGTTGATGTCGCCGCATGTCGCACGCTCAATTAGCATCAATGGCTAGCTAGTGTATGCCGACACAAAGATCTCGAGTAGGAGATTAGTGGGACGCGACGAGAAGGGGGGATTTGTTTGAGATTACTCGAATCGTAGCCGCTGCCGCCCTCCATGCCACTTGTACGAGACGCGAGAGCGGCGGCAGCAGAGGTGGCGAGGTCAGTCACCCGGGAACACACAGGCAGCAAATTTAGTGGAGAGAGTCGAGTGGCCGGGCTTTATGGGTCAACGCACTCTAACAAAGTCGCCGGTGGTTAGTGCTGACAAAATATGACAACACTTGATCGTTTTGAGTGATGTGGCGCAGGTGGAGCGGATCGTCGACCAAGGGATTTGTTCGAATTGACATTATATGATGGGGATAAGCGCTGATCGCTCTGGTATTTGGGACGCGACTCTACAATGTTCCGAAAGTAACTGAAAGTATAACAAGCAGTTCACGTTGCATGCTGGGGAATGCCCAGCAGTGGGGCAGGGTATAGCATCGTTGTGCGAAACACTTAGGGAGGTCGTACTTTCTCTCTGGGGAGGGGGTCGTATTGGTTCGTTGGGGGTCGTATGTGCCTTTGAGAGAAATTTGTCGCGTTGGTTTTCCGGTTGTTGACTTTTTGCGTGATTTTTCCTGTTTCATGTGCACTATATACCCCCCCCCCCCCCCCCCGCACACCCGTCCTCTGGCACCTGCCCTCTCTTGACAGCAAAATTTTAGGGAAATTCGAAAGTGGTAGGAAGCTGGGGACATTCTCCCATTTCACACTAGCTATATACACCCTCCACCCCCACCCCCTCCTCCCCCCTGCCCGCTCGACGACGGAAAATTTTTGGGTGAAAAAACCGGAAAATGGGGGAAATTTGCAGGTAGGTGTTGGGGGGGGTCGTACAGAGACCCTCATTTAGGTGGGGGTCGTACTGACACCCTCTCTCGGAGGAGGGTGGGGTCGTATCTGCACCACCACCTCACAAATCACGATGCTGTATCCTGAGTGTGGGTCGTATTTGATCACAGGACGAGAGAGGGGTCAGCTAGATGGCGGCGACGAAGGACTACCAAGCAACTCAAGCAACTATTCGATTGTGGATCTAGTAGTTGTTTTTGCTGACGACCTCTCTCCCCCTCCACCCTCCCCCGCTCGCTCGACGGCAAAATTTTAGGGAAAAATGGAAAAATTCTGGAAAATTTCAGATGTTGGAAGGTAGCATGGGAAAGGGGGACGCACCAGAGGAGGAAGTTTGGAGGGGGCGGTACCTTTACAAAATTTCTTCAAAGAGACAGGAAGTGCCCTGATCACAAAAGAGGAATTGGAAAGGAAAGGGTGGAAAGAGAAATATGAACTAGGGGTCCTTCAAATACTAGTTTGCCTAGCCTGCCAGCAAGTGCTGCAAAACTGACAGCCTGTTGTTTTCAAGCTGCTTTGATATTTGTCACCAGATGCTCTTTCGTTTGAGGCGGGGGGGGGGCATGCCGCACATTCGCTAGTTTCTATTGCTAGCACTTGTAGAACTACTCTTTCGGCTTGTTGGGACCTGTAAACACTTGCCAAGTAAACTAAGCCTAAGTTTCACAAGGATTCACTAAACTCCATAGGAGGTCTGGCAGTGATCTGTCGGAACCAGCGAATTGCCCCCACCAAGCCGAACTGCGCCTTTATAACGTTCTCTGAAAACTTGTTGATCGTTCTGCGAGTGGCTTTTTCGTTCCATGAACATCGAAGTTGGGGGGAATAGGGATCGGATGACAGCAGACTTGTTTGTTTCATGGAATATACAAAGCGAAGCTAAATGTCTGAGGGAATGTCCTGGTTCTGTGAAATGATTCAAGTTCTTTTGAAATTGCAAATATAAGCCACAGGCGGTGTAGTGCGAAGTGGCCATGTGCACTGTCCAGGGGTCAGGTCTCACATAGGTTTCCGTCCAGGTGAGCCGAGCCTTCCAGCAGTTATCCAGTTTAAGAATTGTTTAGAAAGATGAGCGGTGATCGGTATATCGGTTGGTCCGTAAAGTCGTTGGGTAGACCAAATCGCATCCAAGATGGAATTATGATCCCGATTGGAAGTAGAGTGCGTGGCGCATACCCAAAGGGGTTTCCCAGCTACTAAAGCTCCAGATTTTCTACTCAGGATTTTAAATTTACATGCTGATCTTATAGAGGGTCTGCTCATGGTCTGATGCCAACAGCCTTGACGGTTTCCCAGTTACAAAGGAAATTGCAAAAAGAGCCGTATCTGCCGTAAGACATGTAGCTATAATTTTCCCATGAGAAGAAAGGATTGAGTTTCACTCGTTATTCTTTTTCCGTAGAACAGTTTTACTGCAGCGGTTGTAATTTCGAGGTTTTTTCTTTCTGTGAGCGTTGTTGTGGTGAAGTGGCGCCTCTCTCATAAAGAGAAAGCGGTGTGGACTGCTGGGAAAAGAAAAAAGACAAAGTGCTTTTGGTTGGAGAGTACGTTACGGGTAAATTTACAAAGGGTGATCAAGGGCCTGGAGACTAAGAGCAGGTCCCTATGCGTCATCGGAGGTGGACCAGGCTGTTCAGGTGAGAAAATGGCCGGGGATCGTGGTCTTCGCGAGAAGAACTCGGTTTCGTTGCTGGTAGTGGATGTGGCTTCAGAGGGGTTAGTAAGGGGGTCATAAAGATAAAACCGTCGCCGTTTCCTTATTTGCGACACGCAATCTACTTCCATTCAGAATTGTAGTGGCTTATTGAATGCGATGTGGCCTATACAATGACTTGCGGGGCCAGCCGATGTACAAGTCAGTGTTCTTATCCTCCCAGACGAATCTGGTGCCAATTAACCGTCCCTGGAAGAATGGAGGCTCAGCTGGCCTGGCAGGAACCGACCCGAGAATTCACCCCTGACCTCGCTCATGGTAAGCGTACCACGAGCCACTACCCAACCTTCACCTCAAGGGGGTTTATAAAGCCGAGATCACGTTGTCCTTCTTCGCTATTGGATGTACAAGTCTCCCTTTTCGTTCATCCTACTACCTCTTATTCCTTTTCGAAACTGCCTTTAAGGCCTTATAATTCGATTCAAGTACACTTTTGTGACTCTCTCGACAAAGCTTACAATCAGGCCACTGACCCCATTTCAATGCCCCAACAGTTTGTTTGACATGTTGTACCTACTTTTTCAGCCGTAGTGGCGATTTCAACGATTGTGTGTTGCAGGTCGAAACGACAGTTGTTCGGCGATTCGACACAAGACGAATTCGCATGCGAAAGCGTTGGCCGTGTACGACAAGTCATCACAGTTGATTGAATGCACGAGTCTGTTTCAAGTGAGTGAACTGCTGGATCGGAAATATAGTGACATGGTGTCAGGGGCAGTGTCAGGGGGAGGGGTGAGATGGCTAATATCGCACCTTATTAGTGCGTATGGGAATGCTTTTCAAAATCTAGCGGATCGTAAGTTTGTGGTAGAAAAATGGATGAAAGATGGCGGTGTTGTGACGACGGGGGCATTTTGCACTTTAACGACTTCCCATCGACGTGTGACCCATCTAAACCCCTCAGCCATCTTCTCGAGTTGACAGGTTTTACCGTGGCTTGACGAGCTTGCTCCAGCTTCACAAGAGTTCACAGGTTCACCAGAGTGAGACTTGTAAACCAGAACTAGTGAAGCAACGAAAAAGCAAAATGCCCCCCCCCGTCGACAAACTGCGCCTGAAAGATCTTTTGGAACCACATTCCACGACAACTGGGGGAGGGGGGAGGGGTTCGAGATCCATGGCCACTTTGCCTTCCTCATTGGTATGCCTTTATCTTAGCCTGTCAGAAGGTAAGGGAACAGTAATGGCGAACGCAGTAGTGAGGAGTGCCATCCGGCTTGGTATGTGTCTTCGACACTTCTTTGAAAGTACCAGTAAGGGGAATTTCATAGGGAAAGGAGTTTTGAAGGAAAAAAGGAGCGACTACTGTATGCGCCCTGCGTGAATCCCTTTCACGGCGTATTCATAGCAGGAGTCCGTTTATACTTGATAAGAGTCTATAGGTCTTAGGGTGTGACGTGTAACATTCAGCAGGAACCAGTAAAAGAAGCCAGCGAAAGTGCAAATTCATTCCCCACCCCTTTCTTTGAAGACCCACAGAACTGCAAAAGTAAGCGTAGGAACTTGAGTAATACGCGCCTGAATAATCTTCTTTGACATCTTTTTTTTTTTATTTCTGTTTTATGTCAAGAGTTACATCTGATTGTTCAATTCATTTGCTAGAAATGTTTGGAGACCTCTAGGCACTAGATAGGACCCGGCTAGTGCGTTAGATCTTATATGGAGCGGGTCACTATCCTGGTTGCTACGCGTTGAACAATCGTCGCGTATCAATCAATCGAGTCGCGATCGCGGCATTCGCACCACCCCCCCCCCCCTTGGTGCATCGTAGAAGTGACACAGTCCGGGTACAGCTTTGGAATGAAAGAAAAGGGCTATTCATTCCTCACACGCGAATGTGGCGACCCTCACGCACGATTTGACGGCGCAGCCACCCAGTTTCAGATTACACCTTAAAAATTTGCCCTTATCCAGAAAAACGTCGTTTTTTCAGTGGCGACGTGATAACCTTTTTCAGCGTTGTGTAAGTAAGTGGAACGTCAGAGGGTAATTGAGGGTAATTATAGCGGTTTTTTAGTTGGCTTAGAGGTCTCATTAAATTGATTCGGATGTGGCACCGCGCAGGTGGCAAAAAAGATGTAGGGATGAGGTCTTGCGAAATCGTTGAAACTTTGTTAAGGGCTTGTATTGATAGAAGAACTGAAATGTAGTAAAATCACTAAAGGGGTGGAAGTGTGTAGGCTTTACCCCTTGCCCGCTGTTTGAAGGCACCATACCGGAAAATCTGGGTAAGAAAGGCTCAAGTAAAATGGAGTCAAATCCTTCTTCGGGAGAGACATATAAAAAAGCGAATGTGGAAATTGCGGTAAATCCTGAAAGAGGCAATCGTTGCTTTACCCACTATTGTTTACCCACACGGAAGCTATTTCATCCCTGGTAGGCAAAAATCTTCATCTCCTCTGCAGTAATCCCACTTTCTTTCGCACAATGAGTTCTTTGAATGCCATCATCCCCTTTAGCAGTACGTCTGCCGCTGGAGGATGTAAATTTTGTTAGAAGACGCTCTCCCTTAAAAGTTCTGCTCTAATGCGGCTCTCACCCCTTCCCTCACCTCCTTCCTATCTTTTTCAACTTTACCAACTTCCTGGCAATACTTCCTGGCAATTTTTCGGAGTTTTTTTCCATCTTTTCCGAAAATTCTCTGTTTTTCTCCCCGAAAAACTGCTGCCGAGCGAGGAGCAGGAGGAAGGGGGTGATAGGGTGACTAAATAGCACATGTGAAACTGGAAAACTGAAAAAATTCAAAACTAAAAACGCTTTTCCCAGAACGCAGAAGGCCCCCTCCTTTTTCGTCCAGCAACCACATACTATCCCCCCTCGCTGGGGCTCCCCAGCGTAATACATGCCCTTCCTGCAGCGGACCTGCACCAAAAAAAGTTCCCTTGTTGGAGTCAAAAGAACCGGGAAGGTGTAGGTCTTGGAATGTTATGGTTTGGAGAGGTTCGAATGGACAGAACAGGATCTATCAGTACTTCGTCGTAGCAGAGTATTTTTTCTTCATTTGCTGTCTTTTTGGCTTCAGGGAAATTCAATTCAATTCAAATTTTGTAGGGTCGATGCCGTCTGCGAAATCTTCACAACATCACCGATATACAGATCGAATCACCTGAACCTATGCTGGCAAACGATGCGACGTCATCAGCAGTAGTTTTTGTCGGTACAGGACCATCTGGTGATCCGGTACTGTACGTAGGAACAACTTTTGTGAAAGGGCCTGTGAGTATTCTCAAAAGCCTATTCTTTTCAAATTTTTCTTTTTTCTTTCTTTGTTTTTCTTTATTTGGTTCTGTTTCTGCCCGATCTCTTCTGTAGTTATGTAACCCATAACCCAATTCCTATACTTTAGCTGTTTCGTGACGACATTCCGGCAGTGACATCACTTCGTTTGTCGCGAGGTCGTGATGGTGATGCGAAAGAGTTTGAACTAGCCGACAAGGGATTAGCAACGGGCACGGAAATCAGTCTCGAACGGAAATTTCGGAGTAGTTACCGGTAAATTTTTATTTTTTGTTTGTTTGAACTGGGAGACGGTCGAGACAATCGTAGTTTGCCGCTCCGCCGCGCGCTTCGATCAGCGCGGCGTTTTTATAATTCGCATTAGTCTGTCAGCTGGATCACCGCATTTCATGTAGACTGCGAAGCGTCGACACTTGTGACCATTTTTACCTATACAATTTCTGTTGTCTCATCTAGGACC